TCTTACTGTACAGTCTACTTTGTATAGTTCGAGGACCCTCTTTAGCCATGTATGGGGCACCGAGTCGAATGCCTTTTTGTAGTCTATCCAGGCGGCGGAGAGGTTCCGACGGTTGCGTTTAACCATTTTACCAATGACCGCGTCGATGAGAAGCGGTTCCTTGTTTCCACGACCGCCGCCCCGACATCCATTCTGAGTACGAGACATAATCCGATTCACATTAATATGCCGGGTGATTCTCATACTCAGAATAGATGTCAGTGTCTTATAGATGGTAGGTAGACACGTAATGGGGCGGTACTTACTCGGGTCTGTGGTAACCTGATCTTTAGGAACCAAATGAGTGACCCCAGTAGTAAAGAGGCTCGGGAGCGACCTCTGATCGAGAGCCTCTTGGAACTGTCGGGCGAGCACAGCATGACACACCACGAACCCCTTCAGCCAGTAGTGATGCAGCCCGTCGAGTCCCGGACTTTTCCAGTTCGGGGCTCTACGGACTGCCTCAGATACGTCGTCGGATGTTATGACGACGGGGTCCATGGGTGTAATGTCTGCACATTGGCTCGCCACGACTTGTGTCCAAGGGCCCTCACTGTGGTCTACGGGCTCTGACCACAGGCTGCGCCAGAAGGCGACAGTGTCTGCCTGGTCCGGTCCTTGGCCCGTTCCACAACTCACTGGTCGCTCCAAAGATTTGTAGAGCCTCTTTTGGTCACTCTGGAAGAGGCGATTCTGGCTAAACCGCGCCGTCCTCTCGGAATATCTCCGAATCCGCTTCCCCCAAGCAGCGATCCTCTGCTTCAGGTCATCTATGCGCTCCGTTAGTTTTTGCGTAATGTCCGGCTGGGACAAGTTTATGTTGGTCCCAGCGAACGCTATCCTAACGGTGCGCACAATTCTGGGCCTATTATTGCCCGACCTGAAGCTTATCAGCCTGCCGATGATGGCCCTTACCTTTGCGATACGGTCCTCAATTCTTCTTCTCCATGCTGGGATAGTGCTACCTGGTCTGGTAGCACGTCCAGCCTTGGGAAGTTTGGCGCCAACGATTCGGCATACTGCCAGTGCAGCGCCAAAGAGAATTGAGTCCGTATCGTAAAGATCCCGGCTAGCTTCCAAATAGGTTGCCAGCATCGGGTTAAGAGACTTCACGACAGACCGACTCCGCTTACTTAGGGGTATGCGGGGGAGACGTGGTCGATACTCGAGAGGCGCTTCGCGCACCTCCAGAATTGCCTCCTTCAATATACTTCTCATCTGCTCTATTTCTTGGGCGACTATTCCATCATCGCACGAATCTACAGGAGCCGGGGGGTAAAACGCGGCCTCCGCTTCCGCTTGTAACCCTGCGAGATCCGAAGGCTCGGGGGGGTCGCATTTCCGGCTACTGCATTCTCATCCGATGAGGGAACAGCCTCACGTCGAAGTCGTTCGAGCTCGGCATCATCAAATATTTTTGAGCGCATGATGTACCGAACTCTGTCTGCTAGGTTTTGCTCCGTGACGGTTAAAGATGGCTCCAGCTCAGCAAAATATTATTATTATTATTATTATTACCGTAAAATAAAGCTATCTGCAAATACTAATAGAGCTTTGATCCCTTATGCATACACTAACTTAAAATAAGTATTCCCTTCATCTTAGAGTTATTATTGTATTCGGTCCGTACTAATAATTAGATTTGATGTTGATGATATGTTTTTTATGTAATCATAGAACTTGTTAAAGTTAAAATTTCTTTAGGTGCGTTGAGCACTTTTTGGATGAATAAAAATCATCAAACTCGCCTCGTCACCGAACGCTTTTTATTTATTTAAATTATTATTATTACATAATAATTACATGGAATTTTTGGTAATATATGGTTACGATAATACTTGCTCTTGGTGGTCTACTTGGTGTTAATGTGCAAACGGCATTTGTAAAGTGCAGGGAAAGTCCGATTTCCTTACAGTGCAATGCGTTGGAACGACTATTATGTAAAACAAAATGAAAGAATATGTACTAAAACATTGTTTTAAATTTTCGCGCGACCTTCCGAACTCTGCTTGCTTTCTAAATCTCACCAACTATGAACATAACAGCGTCATGGGCGCATGCTTACAATGAAGTGAATGAAAATAACTTTTAAAGGTACCAGTCCTTTTAAATCCGCTTTTTGTTACTATTAAAGAATTTCAACTTCGTTATTATTCCGTCCAATCAAAATTCTTCACTGCTACAACGAAGAATCATTCGCCATTTAAGTGTGTTTAAGCAAAATGTTGAGTTTTTTTAAATAAAAAACAAATAACTAGGTTCATTTATTTACCTACAAGAGAACTTTATTAAATGAGCCTCGTTTACTGAACTGAGTATGGAATTAATACTCATGCATTTTGTTTTTGATTACTGAAAACCAGCGTGAAGTGGGAGTACTATGCTTTCGCTTTTTGTCTGGTGAGTGAGGTAACCGGGGTCCGCTTTTGAATGTTGGCAACGCATCCATAACACCACAACCCTTGAAGGTTGGCAATGCATTCACATCTCTTCTAGTGTTGTAGCTATTCATGGGTGGCGGTAATCACTTAACGTTAGCTGAACAACCTGCTCTTGCCAAATTTTCTCATAAAAAAAATGTTGAGTCATGGTCTGCAATACTGCAAGTGCATTATTTTTATGGAATTAACACAGAGGTACAGCTAACCGTGACTCAGGTAATTCCACTCGTTTATATATTTGGTACGGGTCGTATAGTTTTACCGTAACGAAAAACCTTGTTTAAACGGTGTGAATTGAAATGTCAAATGAATAGCTTTATACACATAGACACGTGTAAGCGAGTACTTGCGTATGGTGGCTACAAGTTGCTCAATTTAACGTTACATTTTTAGTTTACATAATGTCTCAGACATACTACTAATGGTAACTTTTAACAGACTCCAAAAAAGGAGGATGTTCTCACTTCGGTTGTGTTTTTATTGTTTTTTACAGAACTTTGTTTTTTATGAACAGATTTTAAAAATTATTTTATTGTATATTAATTTAATTTGTTTTAAACCTTGTACTTCGGAGATACATCAGGGAACTCTTCAAAATCAAATAGAAAATGTTATAGTGAGTGATATTTGAATTCGGTTTGGTTTTTTGTTATAAATATACTTAAGGGTTCTTTATTTTACTTATAAAGCCAACTTTTTTTATTATAATAACCTTAAGCCATAGTGCATCCTGTATCTTAGATCCCAATTCAGTCTAGATGAAACCAAAAACTTTTTCAGGAATATCAGTATAGTTTGAAGATTCTTCTGCAGTTTATCTGCATTAGCACTCTCTGTCAATATTATCAAGCGCTGCAACTGGACTGGTTCTGCAAAGACTATCCCCTATAATAAGGAGTTTTAGACGTTTTGATATATTGAATTAGACATTATATAGACGTATAACATTTTGATTTTAAAATCATTAAAGTAATACCAAAAGCGGAGCAAAATGCAACCTGAACGTTTTTTTCATAAATAGGTACTTCTTTCTAACTGGATCAAATGTAAATCCGACGTAGATTATCATGTTTCTAAATTTAATACGACACATTAGTTGTAGTCACTGAAATTGGCAAGAGTTTCGCAAATACCATAGTTGGAACGGTGAATGCACTTGCAAATATCTCGGTGCCGCCGTGGCACGTTTAAGATTCAGCTTTATTAAACGACACAATCACGAATTCTGCCCACGATTCGCCACTCCATCAAAGATAAGCCTTCATTCAGTATGAGCATGATGTAGAACTCCCTACGGTTATTGTATGAGCTGCCATGCCCGATTAAAGCGGTATTTAATCGCGATGGAATTCCATGCCTTAGGTACATAAATTTGACGTAATATATTCACAGTATTGCGCAGGGAAGTAATAAGGATCAAACAATTTTGCTTAAATTCGGAGGACTTGCCTGTTTCGTGTTATTTTCTGCAAGGATTAAAAGATTTAAAGCCATTTAATTTGGCTTTAAAGCAAACATGTATACTGTGTAGATTTCATCAGGGAAACCCGTTTGAACAAATTCTTGGACTATTGCAAGTTTAGCTTCATTAAATAAAGTTAACATTAGATTGTAAGGACGAGCAACGGAAGAATCTTCCTCATCATATTCGAGTTCGTTGCCAGAAGTAACATTCTCTTTGACAACAATCAAACCGTTATCCGTGAGATACTTGCTGCATCTTCGTAAGAAATCTATTAGGTCATAATCTTTTAAATATCCCAGAATCCATTGACACCAAATCAAGTCATAGTTTTTGTCAGGACTGAAATGCTGGAGGCCTATTTTATAGAAATTTCCAATTTTCAGACTGTGTTCACACAATAATTCTTGGGCGGTGTTCAGAAACTTTTCATCTTGTTCCACTAAATCTATTTTATCAAAGTAATCAATCAATAAATATTTACACACCCTTCCAATACCGGCTCCACAGTCCAAAGCTATGTTTGTACTTAGCGGGTGTTCGAGCGATAATAAATGATTCAAGAACGTTCTAGATCCATCTATGTCAATGTCCGAAATGTGTCCGAAACCGCCAAGTACTCCGTTCACCGTTGCGGGCACTTTGGCCCAGTAACTTGCGGCATTTTTGTAAAACCTCACCTCTGTCATTACCGCTCCAAATTTTGATGACATACATGACAGCTTGATTTACTTTTATAAAAAGGTTCGGAATAAGAAAAACTGGTCAAAACAATTCGACATATTTTTTTTCTAGAATTATTACTTTAAGTATGTCGTCATGTTCCTTAAGTTTTGTACCGACCTACAGATAAAAATAATGTTAAAAATACAGTTTTACAAATTAATTGTAATGACCCATGACAAGGTTGGAAATAAAATTTCCTCTAGTTAAATATTATTAGCGTCAAAACAAATGTTACTAAAGAAATAGGTAAAAATATTTTGTACATTCTACCTCTACGATGTCACACGTTTGCACCGACCTAATACAGATATCTGTTATTATTTTTGTTACAGGCTCTCATAACAGCTGTAAACGAGACGCCCGAAGAGGATATCCGAGATGCTCTGAAGGTGCAGACGGAACATCAGCTTGCGCTGATGCCCCGGGGTCCTGAACTTATCAAGGATACTGTAGCTTACAACACAACTATAAAGACTGACGACACGGTGAGAGATAACACGCACAAAAATATTAAATAGCTTATGCGTCTCTTATAAACTGCGTCAAGTTAGATATCATAATTTTCTTACTAGAGAGAAGTAATATGATATTACAATAACATAGTAAGCGAATTTTTTTTAATAAGAATAATATCTATATTATTCTTACCTACCTATATTAATACGTGAAGCAAAAAGATTGTACCCCTTTTTACGAAAAATTGTGCGGACGGAAGAGTACGAAAGTTCCCACACTTATAGTTTATATAGAGAAGGTGTGCTGAATGCTAATATTTTTTTTAATTATCCATAAAAAACACAATAAATCAATTAAAAAAAACATTACACACATTACCATGTATAATTCATTACGGTCTAATTTCGAACACTGGGCAAGAACTTGTATGAATAATATTGTAATGTGTGCAGTTTAAGCTCCTCAAGCTGATTTAAAAAATATAGCAGAGTATTATTGTCTTTTCATAATTTTTAAATAAATTCGATTATTTTTCGGAATAATGGCGATTAACTCTGTCGTATTTCGCACATGGCATTCTTTACGTTACTGCTAATAATATTTATACGAGAAATTTATATTTTAGAAAGAACTGCGAGCGTTACGGGCTGATGGAACGATTGTGACAGAGACAAGTCACACGAAGGAAGAAGAACGGCTTTGTGACGAGGAATTGCCCAACGAAGAGGTATGCTTTGAATTAATAAACCATATTAATTTTTATAACATAAAATAGTAGATTATTGACATTAGTGTAACTATTTGTCAATTCCGGTAAATAAAAAATATTTAAAATTTAGAAACGAAATACATTAAACGTGTGCAAAACAAATAACAAATAAATTAAAACTGTGCAATCTAAGTGTATGATTTAATTTGTTTCTAAAAATTTTCCTATTAGCAAACTATTAGTACCTACATTTCACGATCATTTCAGTATTTGCCAACATTTTCAATAAATATTGTTTCCGGTTTGACATTTTTGAAAGGTATTTATAAGAGAACGAGTTGATTATGTCTACTAAAACCCGTTTTCGTAAACGCAATCAACCAAATTAGTACACATGTTGATGATGCGAAGAATTCGTCATTTGTTGATCATTTTGCGATTTGTTTTCGTTTGAAAATCGAATGTTTGGTTTTTTTTTCGTTGGCAGGCTCGTTCGGTAGCGAGCAACGAGAGCATAGTGAAGGAGACCGGTGGAACCGAGCGTCGCAAGCGCGTGGATTTGGAGAGGACGACGGATCTGATGGCGGGTGGACTGCGCCTAGCCACGCAACTGCACTCACGCACCCGCACCGAAGAAGGTTGGTTATTCGAAAGTATTACATTTGGTAGCAAGCAGGTGTAACAACTGACTGCGAAAAGTTGTCTCTGTGACAATACAGCCGTGACAGTGACCGTCATGCATATTACATATTAGTTCTATCGAAATCACTACCGGACGAGATGTAGAATGATTAGACATATTGAGCTCTATATATCTCTATTATAAGAAATAACTGGCAGATTTATGGTTACGGTGATGTTTTATTAATTTGATTAAAAATATTTTGTTAACGAGTTGATCACACAACCAAAATTAATAAATATATTTTATTTACAGTTGAAAGGGAGGGACAACCAAACATGGACGATGATTGGGACAGCTTATCCGTAAGAATGCGACGACAGCGCCGCCTCAGACTTAGTGGTAAGAATTATCATGTTTATTATTAGTTCTGCTATTGAACCATAGAGGGCGCTAAGCAATGAATTTAACCACAGTGACATAGTTCCACATGACTGATAGATGGCGTAGTAGTAGTATAATTTAGTAAGTTTTGACTTTTTACCAAATAATAAATCAAGCGAGTTCATAATGAACAGTTTCGAGTATAAAATATATAAAATTGGCATTTGGTATAATGCTTCGGCACGGATATTTATGGCACCCATCGATGATTAATTTGGTTTTTTAATAATTTCCAGCGTGAAATTTTTATTTGTAAAAATTGTATAATGTCCATTTATCATGGTATATATTTTAAAAGAAAAAAGATTTTTAATTTATTATATACTCTTTGGTTACAAAATCACAAATGCCTAAAGTTGGTGTTAAAGGGTAAAGTATAACGTTTTCATGTTCACTTATTAAACACCACGGCTTGCTATATTATTGAAATTAAGTGACAAACAATGGCAAATGGGATTAGTGTTTACGATTCTTGCTGTAAGTTTCACCTGGTTAAATAAATGGAACCGTTAGTGTTGGTTATGTTCGTTCTGAGCTCCATTCAATGACAAATTCGTTATTTTGGTTTTATTTCAACGATAAATATCTCTCGATGCCATTATTCCGCGTTACACTTTAAGACTTTCTTAATATGCTTATTATATATTTTTCTTATTATTATGCCCAAAAAAGATTAATTGAGAGAATTTGAAGAATAATTCGAGATAGTTTAGGCTTACTCCCGATTTATTTTAAATGCCTATAGATTTTATTACGGATCACAGAGTTAATACGTAAAAATATACCTTCTTATATAGATAACATTAAACTATGAGGGTAGGGTAATGCTTAAATGGAAGTTGTGCTCAAACAATCCTTAATGGGTTTATACGAGTTTTATTATTAATACATAATATTATGAACTAAATAGCAATTGTCTAAGCAGTCTAAGTCAATTGCTAGCCAGCGACCTTTCTATTGGTCACGATACTAGATAATAGTCTCAAATTCATACATGTGTAGTTGTGTAGTTACTAAGATTTTTTTTTAATCTTTGTACAATAATTGACATTACCTTGTAATGAATGTGGACCTAATGCGGTGGAACTTTTTAATCCCTGGTCACTTTTCATACACGCATCTTACAATTTAACTTGTATCTCTATCGAAGAGTATTTATAAGGATAGTAATACGTAAAGTCGCTATAAATCATTAGTATACGCGCTTACGTTTTGAATTAATCAAACGTATACGCTACGCATTAATATGAATATGGTCAGAGGCTGTAGTTCTGGTCGTATCAAGAATCACGCTGCGTCGTTTCTACATATGTCGCCACTGCCCACGTCTAATGTCTGTTATGGCAAACGTGTCATAGCAAATAATAATTTAAAATAAAATCAATTACGTGTTTACGACACTGATTGAGATTTTATGGTACTTATAAAGCAATATTAAGGATAATAGAGCTATGTGCAATACAACTGAGACCATACAGGACTCTGGAATAGTAAATGTTTTTCTTATTTATATTAAATATACTTATATAAAGGATCTTTATATTTTTTTGATATAGCAAAAATTATTTTTGTTTGTTTTAATTTGGATTTAGTTTAGTAATGAGTATTAGTAATGCATTATAGATTTTTAATAGACATGAATGGACTAGTTAGGTCGTAGTTATGTACAGTATCGTGTTAATATGAAAATAAAGGAATTGTTTTTGTAAATTAGACTAAGCACTCGACGTTCAATTACTGTGGTTGCTAAAAAATATATGCTATGCATCAGCCATTATATTGTTGAATAAAAACTGATATTACATACGATGTTTGGTTTTAAGCAAACATAACTGCATTTCATATAAAGGACCAATATAACATAATTAGGGATGGGTGTAAACTATAAATAAGATATTGGCGAGTGCATTAAGTAATTTTTTAACTTTTTTTCAAAATAGAAGTGGTCAATAGGTTGTTTTATACTCACAATGATTGAAAGGTGTAGGCAGTGTGTACTTTACTGTATAAAATCGTATCGATATCCTATTTATGAACCACAATATTACATAACGGTACATAATATACAGGCCGGACCTAAACAATCGTTTAATGTCAGAGTGATTCATTACGATATTTTCAAAGATTGCGAGCATATTACCATCAATACAAATTGATCTAGCAGTCTAGTCTATCAGACCTGGTACGAAAGGGTGAACCCACTGTGAATGATATTAAAGGATGGTTATATAGGGCAACTTTATAATAATGTGAATTTCGCTGTCCACAGTATTATATAAGACTTCCTTGACGATCCTTAAAAATATCTTCTTTTAAAAATATCTTCCTTAAAAATAAACCTGTAACATTGTATGACGGCTCATTACTCTGTCTAACTACTATCGGAAATTACCCTAAGTTCAACTAAACTTAAACAGTATATTGACCGTGATTATAATTCATTTTATCATTGTTTAAATGATTTCTGTTTTTTTATTCGATAACAATGAAGTATTTATGTAAATCAGACAATATTTTTACTAATAGGTACCCGATATGCCAATAATAATTGACAATTTATAATCTGCTATGTGCGCAAATTTCTCTCATGTAAAAGAAGATAACTAATTACCACATTTTATTCAATAAAACTCAAATATTATTTTTCAAAAAATAATAAGTTTACAAAGATCTGCTTCACATAAAATTTTACAGGGCGGCGTTTTTTTTTATATCTCTAATATATCTATATAAGGAAAAAAATATGTCGCAAATATATGAATTCCGTGTATCCCTCGTTTAATTTTTTTTTGCGTAGCAGTAGGACATATATAGGCAGTTAACTAAGAGTGGGAACATGTTTCATATGAATTAATTAAGTAACTAAAAAAAATTAAAACATGTGAGTTCATGAAATAAAACTTATTGCAAAAAATAAATCTTATTCCAGTAGTGTATTTGCGAACTATTATTGCTCAAGGGCGAGCGCGGCAGAAGAAAAATCCAACCATGTCGTTTAAATGTCCGTTATTGTAAGATCCACGTGCCTGTCTAAAACGAGACTATACGGAAAATAAGTTATTCGTTATTGTATTTCGCCTTATTAGTAAAGAGAAGGTTACAATTTGCATAAGCTCTCGATTAGATCTTCGACGACGTTATTTTAGTTCCGATGACAAACATAACGATTTTTTTTATATACACCGATATTATCTAATAACTACTATCTAGTAGTTTTCTAGTAGTAGTTTTCTACATATTTTAACTACTATCGTGTTAAACTTTTATTTATACTATAACGAGAAGATAACAATTGCAGTAAAATAGTCAAAAATTTTATCAATTTTCTTTTAATAAAAGAAATAACGTTGTACATGTAGGTACTTATATAAACTATATATTTTGAGACATAAGCTGAAAGATATAATTATTAGATTTTTATTTAAAAATATATTATGATTATCTATCTATGTAGGTTTGTCTTCCGGTTGTAATGTACATGCAAAATCAGACTTCTGTAAAGTTACTGATGTGGCAGAATTCAAAATCACTATAACAGCGGTAACCACTAATCATCAGGGTTTTTCATCATTAAAATATTTAGTGTATATTGCAATGGTAGAATAAAGGTTTAGTACTTCGTCTATAAGAACAGTTTTGTGTTATTTATATTCGGTTTGTTAAGATATTATAAGATTACCTGAGTCATTATTTTTATAATAATGATTATAAAGCATATCCATCTTACAAACCATCTTAAAGGTATCATTAACGAATGTAGTTTTATGAGTAAGATGTTTTTATGATCATGAATAACAATACGTTTTGTTGTGATGACTTCTTCCCTGAAAAACGCTCAAGATTTGTTCTTGTCACGACATGTCAACATCAGAGAACGCTTAGAGATCGAGTTATATATCCCAATGTCGTATTTTATAGCATAAATATTTTTACTTAATAAATTCGTTTCATATTCACATAATAAAGTGAAGACCACGCCTTTTCTTATTTGAAAGACTGAAATAGAAAGTTTTGATAGTTTTTGGATTACATATAACAAAGATTGTTATGCAAACGTTTTCTATTATTCGGTTTTTTTTACGTGAACTTACTGTTCAAAATTATGTTCACTGTACGGCAACAGGCTTACAACTTGACTCGTTTTGGAACTTATTAAGTTCCATAGAACAAATGTTATGTGTAATCACCAGCCTCTATCTATCTTGTCGTAGATGAAACGTGACAGTATCCATAATTTTATACACCATGCATCTATGTATAAATTGCCGTTGTTAATAATTGAAAGGGAGCTGTTTGAAAAAAACATATTCTTCTAAAATGATCACGGATTCTTGCCAATATTCTTCAGCTTCACGAAGTTGATTGGAGAATTTAAAAGAATATCTGCACTTAACCATTTAAAAGAGTTTTTAGTTTCTTCAAGAGCCACAAAAGTCATAAAATTTATGTTATGAAAATGCATAAAATTATTTTATGCACAGTAATAGCATTCATGCGATACACTTGTTTTGCGTTGTTAATCATATTATTGTTTATTATATTAGCTTTTATTTTACGATTTGTAAATATTTGTTCGTCCGTATTATGCGTGAATAGTGGCCGCGGTTCGTTATTAAGAAAATAAAAAAAAAAAAACATAATCTATCACTTACTTGGAAGGAAATGCCCCTGTTGTCGCCAGTCTACCATGCTGAGCGTAGAATTTCGCTTCACCGGACTTTGCAAATGTGGAGGCTTAATTGTTCTTCGGCCACAATCAGTGGGTGCGTTAGACAGTCAAAGGGGTCATAGTAAGTGGCGCGTACGGTCAATCATTGTGCCCACGCAAAGGTTTGAGGTCGTTTGTGACACGCCCGCTTGTGCACGTCTGTAGCGCCTGTAAATAGCTTTGTTGATTTTGTTTTATAATTCCATTCACAGTTTTTTTTTTTAATTTATATTTTTTTCTTTTTAAATTGTGCTTAGGTTTTATTTTACCGGCCTCTGTTTCTGATTTTTTTATTATTGTTTTCATTTAGTTTTTAGTAGTGAAGTCATTGCCTATAAATGTCCCACTGCTAGGCTTTCTCAGTAAAGAGGGAGTTAGAGTTGACTTCTTAATCAGATTTTAGCAGTATCAACAGCTTTAATTAACGCGAATTTGCATAGACGTATCCATTTCCCCGAGTTACGTACTGACGGAGGTTTGATACAGCATTTCGTAATTTATTGACATAGCGTCTATATGGTGTGTAAACGATGTTTGCGAAGACACAGCATCCAACGGGTTGTGAAATTTTTCTTAAGTTATAGATCTTGTTTCGTCACTTGACGGTATAGATGTTGTGATTTAGCAAGTGATCTATTCATTATATATTTGAAAGCAGAGTTCATTTAACGGAAGATGTGAAATAAATATGCTCAATATAGTATTACAAGTTAATAAATTCCTTTAGAGGTTTATGGTATATAATGGAAATAGATTTACATACATTTATGCCAGCAACGGCGTCGCGTTCTTTGCAGTAATTATAAAAAAAGGTTACATTTCTTTACCGTATTAAGTGTAATGACTGAAGCGGCTACAACGGCCTAAGAATAATTACGAGGTGACGATACGCCACGTTACCGTCTCACAGCTGTTAAGTAAAAATTACACGAGTGTTTGCACCATTGCATTGTCCTTCGCCATTTTGGCAAAACTATTGACTGAGCGGTTACGCAATAGCAAGCGAGTGAGGATGCGGCGGTCATTCTGGCGTTAACCGTTGGCCGTGCGCTCGCGTCTCGCGCCGCCCACTAAAGCGCTTCCCACTTTCAGAACACGACAAGGACTACGCGAAGCGGCCCTTGGACTTCGACATCGAAGAGGAGACGCGCAAGAAGGAGACCTCCAAGTGGCTGGAGAGCCATTTCGGCAGCGACTCGCGTTCCTCGCACGATTCGATAGCGGAGGAGATCGCGCGGAGGCCGGAGCCCGCGTACTACGCGAAGAACAAGAGCGCCGATGACGAGGGCTACTACGGGAAGACGTCGCCGCCAGCCCCTCCGCCGGCCGTGTACGCCGACAGAGCGCTGAGGAAGACGAAGTCGTCGACGCCGTCCGACGAGCGGCAGACGGCGCCCCTCAACCGGACGGGCGGCTACTTCAAAGGGGTGGCCGACTGGTCGCAGCGGCGGGCGACTAAGCCCAGGATGCCTGAGCCGCGCAGCTCGTCGCCATCGCCGCCGGCGGCGCACTCCCCCTACGCGAGCGACGACCGCTTGGACGGCTCCTCACCGCGTCACGTGTACGGCAAGCGCGACTCGCCCCAGGGCAGGTCGTCGCCGATCGGCCGCCGTCATCCGCCCTCGCGCGACGACTCCGCCTACGTGTCCTCGTCCACCATGCACAGCCCGCCGCGCGGCTCGCCGTTCCGGCCGCTCGAGGCCGAACGCAACCGCGAGCCGTCCGTGGACGACGACTACCGGCACCCCGTGGCGCCCGAGCGCAAGCGGCACCCGAAGCGCGCGCCCGACGAGCACCGCTACGACAGCGGCTACCGGAGCTCGTCGCGCAACGGCCATTCGGGCCGCTCGCGGGACAGCCGCGAGGAGGTGGCCGCAGAGCCCCCGCCTGACTACTCGCCGCCGCGCGAGCGCCGCGGCAGCTCCGACAGGGAGCGGACGCCGCCTCGACGCCGGGAGCGTGACGAGCGCAAGCAGCATCAGAAGACACGCTTCGCGGAGGCGGAGGCGCGCCGCCGGCCGTCCCCGGCGCGCAAGTCCGTCGGCACGGCCATCGGCAACTCGATCAGGAAGCTGGTGGGCAAGATTCGCTCGGCGTCGGCCGAGAGGCGCACCCGGTGGCGGAGCTCGCGCACGCCGTCGCCCGAGCACTCGTCCCGGACGTACCGGCAGTACGGCGGCGAGCTGGCGCCCCCCGTCGCGCCCCCGCACCGCTACTACCTCGGGGAGGACCCCTTCGCGCCCAGCATCTACGGCCGCGAGCACAAGTACGAGGGCAGTCCGAGACGGAACGTTGCCAACGACGCCCGCGACCATCGCGACAGGTGAGCCCATACCTTTTCCTATTTCATCACTAATGGTGTCATAAACACACCTCACATGTTTGGTCCGATATGAAATATCTAACTCCTTTAAAAGATTATTAGCGTATCAATTTTAACGAGAATACCTTGTGCCGTAAATAGTATTTTGCGGGGCGATTTACACACGTTGCCTCCCACATCGCTACATCAGGAACATATATTTAATTAATGGCTGCTTGCTTTGAAGCCATTGTAGGAGGATCGGATTTTATATTAAAATTTATTGACAATGTAATCGAGTTCCTATACAATATTTGATTGATGTGGGATATTTTCCTAATTGGTGTGAAATCGTATAACTTTTAATTTGTATATTACAACAACAATTTTAATCTATAACACGTTTTTATTATTATAGAAGTGTCAATATATTACAGAATGTAATCAAGCTTTAACTTAGTGACCGTAGCTATATCCTAGATACGAGACTGTCGAGGTCTACTAGATTTTTGTATCCGTAATAAAAGTGGATTGGTGTTTTGCGTAATACCTTAGCGATCCTAAGAAGGACTTAAAATCCTTTCAAAGCTTCCGCCCGTTTAAACTGTTTAAATTACATTTGGTTGGAATTATTAAAATTTATTAGCAGTTTAAAATTTAGAGGCACAAAAAACTTTGATATCTGTGTATATCCCGTTCATTATTCACTGTATAGGTGTTAAATAGATGAAACTAAAAGATAAATGAAATGTTCACTGTGAAAGTGCCATGCATCAACTTCTGCTGTGGCACTTATGGGCAGACTTGTCTTGAGAAGTACCACGGCCTCACAGAAGACCTGCGTGAAGTGGAAGTCAAAAAGTTATACTTTCGCGTTTCGTCTAGTGAGTAAGAAAACCGGAGCCCACTTTTGAAAGATCGCATCCGCATCCGCAAGCCCTCAGTTGGTGGCGGTAATCACTTAAAATCCTGCGAACCACCTCTTCCTTGACAACCTTTTACAAAAAAAAGTGCGCACATTTAAATTACACAAACAAAGACGAATCTAAGGCACCTCGTACGTTTAATCCGTTAAAAATTTAAGGCCGTAGAGTGTGCCAAAGAGTTACATAGACGTTCATAATAAATAAAAGAATTATCCTCCGTTGGAAGTTGAGCAGTATTCTTAGTAAGCTTTTAATAAATCACCGGTATCTCATACAAAGGCCGATAAAACGCAGCCTATGTTATAATAACAACGAGTTCGCATTCTTGACATTCTGAGGTAAGCGTTCTAGTTATAGGCGCCTGGCACTGAGTAATACTATTCGATAATCCGTATGGTCTAGCAGTTAGTCCATTTGATTGCCGGTCTTGGGATCAATTGAAAAATTTCAATTACAATTGTTTTTCACCAGCATCTGGACAGCACCTACATCATTTCTAATTTCTTGGACCCTTTACGATACGAAATAGTTAATTTTACGGTACAAAAAGTAGTACCGTTAAATCACTCACATGAGTACCTAAATTTCACATTTTATTTAAGTCCGGTGAGCCATTTTGTAGATAAATATTACTTAATTAATGTACTTCATGATAATCAGTTTTACATTCAATATCGAATGACGTACATGTGTGATATACATGTGCTTTATTAAATAATCATTGGATATTGTTAATTGTTTCACGAATTACTTTAAATCACATAGGTAAAAGTAAAGTACTACGTAAAAGCATCTGCCTTACAAAAGACATTAGCGTGTAATATTTACCGCGATCTCATCTCAGATTATAGAAATGTGCTACGAATTATTTCAATACAAATTATTACTCGCTGAGCACCGCATAGCACAAAACTGTTAGTAAAGGCCTCTCGTGCACAGGCGGTATCAAGGCAAAGTCCACCACGCGACCCTATCGCGGATTGACAGACTTCACATAAAGATATGTGAAATTAAGAATATTTTTTTTAATATCATTTCTAAAATATCCGCACGAAATTTTCCTTTACCTTAGAGATGACTAGGCACTTGAAACTAACAATATCATTGGTGCACTGGGATTTGAACTCGGGTTGCTCGATTATATTCAATTAAAACCAACCGCCATCATGAAAAGTATACGGCCAATTTAGAAGGGCGGTCAGGGTTTACGTATTTCCTCTTTTCGTGATTGCTACGCGTGCGTTTTACTCTTTCACTACGTTATAATAATTCATAAGCAATTTTCGAACTTAACTGATACCTACTATAATTATTGATAATTTTCAGTTGGAATTCAAAGGGAATAATAAGTTATGAATAACGTGTTTGCAATATCCCACGAGTTTAAAAATGCTTACACTGTGCATGTCCAAATAATATTTATAGTTCTGACCTTTATAACTAGTGGCAGTATTTATAGCATTGTATTTGTGTTAAAATTACATGTTTTTAAACAGCCGTCGTCGGGCTCAAACTATATAACTAACTTTCTATAATATAGCATTTTGCAATACCCGGGGCTCGCAATAAATCATATTGTGTAAATAGTTAAGATGATGTTTTGAGATAAGTTTCACAATTCTAGGAAAAATTGGGTACACGTGATGTTATTATGCAAAAAGTTTCTTTGATAACGAAGCCATAAAGATGTTACATGATCTAAGATAAATTGATATACTTACGCGTACGTTTCAAATTAAAAAGAGAAACATACATATTATATCAATTCTTTATGTTTCTCTATACTACTAGTGTTTTAATATATTACTGTAAATGCGTTTGAAATGTTAGCTATTACAAAAAATGTCTGAATATTTCTAAGCACAATTTCAACTTTATCATATTTTAGTAACGTAAATAAGGTTAAATAAGAAGCGTTAACAATTAGAGATTACAAGTTAATAAGGAATTGCTTTCGCTTCAACCTCTAGTTACTGGTAGACATCATCATAGTCCTGCCCTTATTTATCCCACATAGGTGGGGTCGGCACAACACGTGAATCATGTTGTAAGCATTTTTAATAATAACAATATTTTTTTTTATTTATAAACCCAACCAGACGAGAAAACAAATGAATGAGTTTATTTAAACAAATAATAGAGAACAAAAACATCAATTACAGTATTAAACACAGTATGTACGTTTACAAATCGTATTCACATTTGCATAGTGAACTCTGCACTAGATAGCAACCTGTCTCGCAGGGGTTTTTGGCTATTATTTTTTACCTGTCTGACGTCAACCCTCCTTGAGAAACAAACACCCAGAAACAAATACTTGTCACAAATACTTGTCCCGTGCGGAAATCGAACCCACGACCCCCAATGCCGAAGCCAATAGCTTAGCAACGGCGCCACCGGTTCATAGTTACTCCAAGACATCGACATCCTTATTTAACTAATCCTTTTTAATAAAAAAAAAAAAACAAATATTAATCCAGTACTAAATGAATGTTTTGCATGTAAACACGCACGATTTTGGTGGAAATAACTATCAGTTATGTAAAACTCGTGCAAAGATGAAAGCACTCGAGCTCTGAATTCGTGCGCTTTCAAAATATCTCGCGGGCTCCCGTTTCCATAGAGGAGCTGGCCGAATTGCATACTAATTAATTCCTTTTCATACATATTCTGAAAACGTAAAAGCGGACAGACGGATATGGGTTCGCGTCGCTTCGAAAAGTGAAACGCGTCAAACACCCATATGGGGAAGAACAGAATCGATTTGCGCACGGCACTTATCAATGACGGCGTCTGTGTGGATTGCTGGATAGGAGAAATTATTACATCTAATAAACGGCTACCTTAATGGTGTGCTAGAGCCAATAACGGCTCTATAAGTATCACCTTTTTAGCTTATCTGGATTGTATTGCGACGCCGTTAGTTCTAATAAAGGTAGAATCACTAACATAAATCCTTACTTCCTGACTAATATTATAAAGGCGAATGTTTGTATGTATGGATGGATGTTTGTTACTCTTTCACGCAAAAACTACTGAATGGATTTTAATGAAACTTTGCAATAATATAGCTTATGCATCAGAATAAGGATCTAAATAGTAAAAGTTATTGTTTTTTATATTCGTCCTGGCGGTAAACTCACCTCTCAACCTGTCACGTTTGGAAATAATGCAAAATAATTGAAATGTATATTGTATTTGCAGACGCTGCATACACCGTTACGGTCAAGAGTATTCTATTTATTTCTAAGCTATATTTATTGATATTTTTATTAATTTATTTACTCCCAACATAGACCGTTAACATTAAGGCAAGACTCATTGTAAATCGGTTATCATTTGATCTCGTAAAACACACACGGTGCGTTCCGGTATCTTTTACCATTTATCGCTCGGGCGACGTCCGTGGACTTTGCCAATTATGGGTAAATAAATGTTTCATTCACAATGGAACCCTTATTTAGCGCATGCGCGTTGAGTCAGTTACATTGAGAGGCATGCGTTACAAGGAATAGCCGGCTTACACTTGTCGCCAGTGTGAGTCATTAGAAGAATATGTCGGCACAGGTGTCCAATGTCGCCTCGTCAAATGTAAATCAACTCGCTACAGAATAGTCGCCGTTGGAAATACCGGTCTCCTTTTGTTTGAATCTATCTAAGACCGACGCGTATTAAATATATTAATGCGATATGGCTCACTTGTCTCTTTATAAAGGTATAGAGTACTGAGGTCGTTGTGTTATACTTCGTATAGAACACTCGTTTTATATTACATGCTCGAATATTATATTGTATACGCTACGCAAAAAGGTAACGTGTCATTGTATACACAGAACGGCGCGCGGTAATTAAGCTCGTGGGCGGTGATCTTCAATTCAATCCAATTACCCGTCGAAGCACACGATCGTCTAGTTTTTGTTGATACATAACGAGATAACAATAAGCGCGCGTGGGCTTCGCTTCCACGTTACGGGACGCTATAAACGGAGTACATCTATTAATCACGTTTCTTGTTCGAATTCCAGGGGTCAGTTCTCGAGCACACTCGGCCGATTCAGCCATTCGACGAGCCGCCTGAACCCGAACAACGAACCGGAGGAGGAATATTCTAGAAGCGCGCAGACGTTGCCGCGCAAGCTGCACGAGCGCAAAGAGAGGGCCGAGAAGCCGGCCTCCAACAAGTACTGGCAGCGGCTCACGCCTAACAAGAGATCGACGAGCGCCGTCAACGTATCGAACAACAGCAGCTCAGCGCAGGAAGTGAAGATCAACGGCTACCCACCGGGCCCGGCGAAACCGGCGCGCACCTACAAGGGCCTCAACCGCAGCAAGAGTTTCGCTATGGGCGCACCCGAACAGGACGCCCGCCCGCGCTACGTCACCGGCATGAGCCGCAACCACTCCACCATGTACAAGTCCAACCCACACCTGAGCCGGCTCGACGAGACGCCCGAACAGCTCAAGAGCCCCGGCATCGTGTCCATCATCAACAGGAGCCAGCGCGACCTCGCCGACGCCGTCTCCAGGGAGACGGAGCGCAGGCGCGACGGACTGTTCGGCGCGCGGTACGGCAAGACCGCGCCGTCGAGCAACGGCCACACAAACGGCCACGCCAAAAGCTACGAGGAGACCGATAAGAAGAAAATATTCCTGAAAGGTCTCCGCGAGCGCGCGCCGGACCTCTATCAGACGCTCCACGCGGATGAAGATTCGGACGGTAGCAGACTGTCGTCTAGATACGGCACACCGTCGCCGCATTACAAGGATCGTCTGTCCGAGGAACGGAAAGCGCCGCTCTATAAGAGCGAGTCTCTCAACAGGGAGGGCAGCCCGTTCGTGGCACGCTTGGAGACGAGGCTGAAATCGCCCGCCATCAGGACGGGTAGCAACAGCAGCGACAACTACTCGGAGACCTACAGGTACACGACGCGCTCGGGCGACCCCGAGCGGCCGAGCGTGACGGACACCGTCGAGACGGTCAGCAAGAAAATCGTGCCCTCTAGGGACGGCCGTTCGAAAGAGATAATAGAGTCCAGGGAGGTGAACTCGGTGACGAAGAGCAGAGCCTACAAGGGTGAGCCAATCGCCGCCGTTAAGTACTACGAGAACGGAGTGCGCCCACCGCCGGTAAGCTACGAAATCAAAAATGGATCTGTCCCCCTGTACTCAGAGCGGAGGAGCAGCAACTACAAGGTCATAGAAAAGATCAGAGATTATTAGTTACGTTACGTTAAAACGTAACATATTGCCATAAATATTACGTTATTGACTTAGAATAACCGAGCGCAAGCAGATAGAAAATGTATAGGTACGTAGATCACATCGAAATTTACACGATAACGTCCATTTTGTTAATTTAATAATTCGCTATGTCATGTAAAAAGTCATATAGCTTTACTAATTATATTTTTATAACTTAAATAATTGATTTTACTCCGTCCATTTTAAGGATTTTTTAAAATTGATATTGTTATAAGTTAGCATATGACTAAGGCATGTTGATTTGTAAAAAAACTTACATCTATATATGTATAACATTTTTTTGATGTATTGTGTAATAAAAAAATAAGAATTTTAATAAAATGTATTCGATAAAAATATAATGTGTTAATATGCACTAAACATTTCGTTTTATTTATTTGGTAATGACACTATTATCGTATTAGACATTTTATAAAAAAGTTTCAGCGACTGATTAAGAAATAAGTCAAATTTAAAATTTTGTAAATAATTCATATAATGTAAAAAATATCAATAAACGTCAATAAATAAACCTCAATTGTCTTACAAAAATATGTTATAAAAACGTGAGCACGTATATTAAGACAAAGGTTTTTTCATTTTACTTTATCATTTATTACAAAATAATAATATATAATATAATTAATAGAAGGAAGACTAAGATTATGAAATAAGATTCTAATATCCAACAACATAATAAAAAATAAATACATTAATTTGATAAATTTAAACTGAATAAATTTGGAGCAATTACAACAGTAATGAATTGCTATAAAATATTAATATCTAAGTGTGATTTGTACGTACATGATAAGTAAACGCGAGAAACGGCGATACCTACCAGCTTTATTTAGAACATACAGTTTTGATAGCATTTTATAATACAGGTTTGATAGCATTTTATAAAAACTAATTCCATAATATGGGGCTGAATTTCAATTTGTTTTGTCATATGTTCCTGAATTTTTTTAGGTGCTTGGGGTCCCCACACTAAATTTTTTTTAAAGTTTATGTCCTACGCTTAACGCTGCAGCTGGTGACTAGAGAGCTGGTTCTTTTTTCGCTCAAAGATTAAGGATAACTCTTCAGCTAGGAAATGCAGCTAGCGTGGCACCATGCCGCGTGGATTAGGTTTATTAGATAATGTGTAAATTTAGATTTAACCTTGTAAATATTAGATAAATTGTCAAATTAAATATTAATGATTATTTAAATGATTTCCGAAAATAATTATGTTGCAAGGGGAAGCGCCCTCTATCGATTAAGTTCAACATTAATTGTATTCAAAATTTATTTTATGATCTTACTAGATGGCGCTTTAAAGTTATTGTATAGCGTAGATTTGTAACCGAAATGTATATGATAATTGATACATTCTTCCCTGCCAAAAATGAATAATTTAACACTAATAAATTGTAACTACTAGAACAATTTTAACAACTCACAATCTTCTTATTCTCAAAGTGTCATGAAAAAAAATTAAATGAGATAAACAAACTTTGTAAATTATATAAATTATTATTCAACAAGTAATGCGCGATAGTCCGTTAGCTAAATAAGATTAGAAGCGAATAGAGTACGGAAAAGAAGCAGAGGACCCGCTCTGGGTGTGTATCGAAAACGACAAGAAGGCTCGGATTAAAAACCCCATAAAAATAAAGATAATACTAATATATTTTTTTATATGGAACTGACTAGCGCTTGACTGCCATCCCACCTGATGGTAAGTGGCGATGCAGCCGCGGATGGTAAGCGCGCTAGCTCAGTAAAAGCCTATCAAAGCCAAATAATAAGAAGGCTCGGATGGTGTGCACGAGCTTGTTGAATGTTAAGTGCGATCAGCTTGTAGAACAACTCGTTGTGTCGGATACCTTCACGACATCGCATAAGGGTGCACTCGTGTCCATAATATGAGGTCTTTCAGGTTGCCCGCCAGATGAACGATATGTGCGCACAGGAGTGATTCGGGCGAAAGCTAACTTCTGTTTTTAACATTTTTATAGTGCTAATCTCTGGAATTCAGATTAAACGTTAAAATTTGTAGAAAACGTATGAAAAGATTGTCGCCGCTGAGGGAATCGAAGCCACGTCTTCGTCATTCGGGGCCTGACGCTTTAGCCACTAAGCTAAATGGCTGATTGCCACACCGACGAAAATCTAAACGTCTCTTATCTACATTGTTTTTTTATCATTTGAAACAATGCTTGATGCATCCATTGTTATATCCTTTCCAGCATACAAACAATTTTGAGTATCGTTTTACAGCGATAATCCGAACGAGAGATGTCGCCATTACATTTTAGAAATTTTTTTTGCACCGAGTCGTTGAGGATAACAAGAGCGTCCAAACACACCACGTCTACCACCCTCGACCTGTCCCCTGCACCTTCCAAACTCGCATCCAGAGTGGGATCAATCCTTATTGGTAGCGGCCCTCTCGGGTCGGTCTTACAACACAGGCTGGCCCAGTGTGAGTTCCTCTTGGCTTAATCGTGGGTACCAAGCCACGGCTACTAAGCCCGTCCGCCAAGGCTAGGCGGGAACCCGGTCGGAGGGGTGTTTGGCTAACCTTTATCAAAATTGTAAATGAGATATAAACAAAAGAATTTTATAAATATTCCCTCAGAATAAAAAAGAATGTTTACAGTTGATCTTTTCAAGTAATTCATGTGCACGTAAGCATTCCTCCTCGCTCAAAGTCGCTAAGCAAACTATGGAGCGGGCTATGCTCGGTATTTCTCTGCGTGATAGAGTTCGTAACGAAGACATACGCAATAGAACCAAGATAACCGATATAGCTCAGAGGATTAGCAAGCTGAAGGGGCGATGGGCCGGCCATATAGCTCGTAGAACCGATAACCGTTGGGGAAGAAAGGTTCTCGCAGTGTAGGACGACCCCCCACTAGATGGAGTGACGACCTGTGCAAATATGCGGGAAGTCGATGGATGCAGGTGGCTCAGGATCGTACTTCATGGCAGTCTATGGGGGAGGCCTATGTTCAGCAGTGGACTCAAACAGGCTGAAATGATGATGAAGCATTCTTCCACCTGGGTGGTATAATTCATTCTGCCTAACGATATCACATATCGCCGAATTTTAATTTTAATTTTTCAATTGATTTATCGAACAGAATTGTCACATTTTGTAAATTATACTGTCTACCTTGTTAGAAAAATCGCCTGTTATTTAAAATTATAAGATCTGTAGACGATGGATAAAATTTATCGACTGATTTTTATATTTCTTATGACAGTAAAACAATTGTGGATTACTCTTGCATATCCTAATATATATCAGTCAATATATTTAAATGAACATTTAATAAAATAGCAAAATTGGACTTATAAAATAATCGAATGAAATAATAGAATGAGGGTTTTTCGTATTTGTTATTAGTTTACGCACAAACGCCCTCACAAGTTTCCCGTTAAGGTTTATGGCTTAATATCCATGCAAACAGTGTCGGGGCAGCTGCAGATAATGTTTAATATATTTCGTTCCATGTTTTTTGGGCTGAATTTATAAGCAAAGACAGATGTTCAATGGAAATTTTAAATTCTAAGTTCGTTAGTTTTTTTTTTTCCGGGTTTTTTTTTCGGTATTGGTGGAATGGCGTATTATGCCCCAATTTTTAAAATAACTGTATTATTTTTTTAAACATCAAGTTACCAATATTTGTCTTATAGCTGTTGAGAATTCGGATTTTAAACATTTCTGTGAGCTACGTAATGTTTTCATGTTTAAGTGACTTTAAACTTTATTACTTGACAGTGCAGTGTTCGCAGAGTACCGTGAGATTCATAAAATAGTAGTATAATAATATGGTAATCAGTATTTATCAATGAAAGAATTTTTGAAGTTTACGAGCAAATATAACTTTAATTGTAAAAGGTACTTACCTAACATCGTGTTAACTAACTTCGCTATCTTTCATGTAAACACATTTTTAATCTATGGTATGGTTTTAAAACGAGAACATTTAACTTTTCTCTTTTATTTTTAATTTTCTTAATTATGTTCTTTGTTTTCTGCTATTGACTAGCAAAGAACATAAGTTATTATCAAAGTTAATAGTGCAATCATTAAAATGATGTTTAAATAATCGATATGGCAAAGCCAATGTTGGATACATTAGATTAAATCGTTTGAAGTCCCGTAAATGAAAAATGCTGTATGAATATTTTTGATTTGCTATAAGTATATCAATAATGTAAGCTTCTGTTGTGTTTATTTATTTAAAAAATATATACAAATCTTATTTGAGATTACTTTTTCTTTCTTTTACAACAAAAACGGAGGTCAAATACAGTGATTTAAAACAAAAGATTTAAAGTTTTAAAACTATTTAAAATAATGTGATCGTTCTTGTATCGTTTACGCCACTTGGTTTTAGTATTTTAAGCGATCGGAAGCGGTTTAATCTTATGATAAAGATAACTGTTACTGAATGGAAAAAAGCTGATTGCTATTCACGGAACCCCTCCATTAAAAAACGAATCTGCCAGTATGAAATTGCGTAACCATGACAAAGTATTATAGCTATCCAAGGTCCCATATACTAGTTAGTGCAGGTTCAAGCTCCAAGTGATATAGAAGTGAAGAACAAGCAAAAATGGTGGGTATTCAAATTATTTTCCGCTTCTGTTTGTAATTATTTTGATTGGTAAATGAAAAAAATGTGAACGTAGGTATTTATAATTTTTTTTTTATTTTGCAGACTGTTTTGAGGTTTTTACTCGCATGTTGCTTATTTTCTTATGGTGGATGTGCTAACATATTGTATGTAGTGCCGTTTACTTCAACCTCACACTATATCATGCTGAGACCCATTGGTTTAGAGCTTGCACGGAGGGGTCACAATGTTACTGTCATAACATCGAATAAAGAAAAGAATCCTCCACAAAATTACCATGAGATAATGGTAGACGGCAAGAAAATTTGGGAAGTTATTGGTGAGTAGTTATTGAATTAATTC